AGCTAAAATAAAAGAACACAAGCCACAATAATAGAACACAAGCTAAAGTAAAAGAACACAAGCTAAAATTAATAGAACACAATCTAAAATAATAGAATACAAGCTAAAACAACAGAATACTAGCTAAAAAAATTAGAATACAAGCTAAAATAATAGAACACAAGCCAAAGTTAATAGAAAACAAGCTAGAAGAATACAAGCTAAAAAGACAGAACACAAGCCACAATAATAGAACACAAGCTAAAACAGCAGAATACAAGCTAAAAAAGGCAGAACACAAATTAAAATAACACAAGCTAAAATTTAATTGAACCAAGCTAACATGACAGAACACAAGCTCAAATGGTACAAGCTAAAATTACCAAGGAAAAAGCAGCAGAACATGGGCCAAAAATTAAAAGCAGCAGAACAAAAGCAACCAACTGAAACCAAGGGAACAGCTGAGACCTAAAAGCAGAGGACACAAGCTAAAGCTGGAACAGAAGACAATTACTGTCCAATCATCCATCATCTTTTATCCACTTCTTTCTGGGTCACAGGGGTCACTGGTGCCCATATCCTAAAATTAGCTAAATAAATGCTAAAGTTAGCAAACAATATGTAGCTAAACATGCGGACGTTGGCGAAATAGTAACTAAATCATGCCAGCATTATCTAAACTGTGGCTAAATGTAGCGAAACAAATAGTAGCTAAATGCTAAAGATGCTAAAGCTAAAAGTGGCATAACAAAAAATAAATAAAGCAGGTTTCAAAGAGAACAATGAACTCCAGTTTAACAACATGCCAATTAAAAAGTGACAATTGATACTTTTAATTGGCATGCTGTTAAACAAACGCCTTAAGGTATTTAAATGGTTTAAATTAGCCTACACCTCAAGTGTTTGAAGGTGCTCCCATGCATATCAGTACTTTCATCGTGTCGTATCTGAGTTGTAAACAGGTAAATGTTGGTGCACAGGTGGAGCAGCAGCCTCTCATCTGCAGACAGAGGAGGACCGCAGACAAACACGACGCCATCTTTTTTTTTTTTTTTTTTTTTAACCGGGAGGAGAAGAGGACCGGCTGGGACCCGCAGCAGCGACAGCGCGGCCAAAACATCAATAAATACACGCGGGGAAAATATATTTATGTAAAACGCAAACGACGGCTACTCGGTGAGTCACGTTTTATGTGAAACGTTTCCTAAGCTCTGAACGGTGGTGTCGGTCCCTGCATCTTCACCTGTCGGGGCTCGTGCAGCATCAAACGGTCGGTGTAACAAATGTAACGGTGAAAGATGGCTGCCGCCGGTGAGCCCGGCTCTGTCGCTGGTTTTACTCCGGGACGCGACGTTTTCTTCTCATCAGCTGTTCCATCATTGTCCTGCGGCAGGTGCAGCACACCTGACCAAACGGCCTCGTTTCAGCTCTAACTGTTTCAGATTAAACTGGAAATTAAAAGAAATTAATTAATTTATTGTGCATGTGTGCAAGGTGTACAAAATGTTTACATGGGTGCTCTGCGTTAATGCAGGTTGGACAGACACATATTATTAGAGGGGCATGTTAATTAAAACTGGACAAATGATGAGTTTGTCTGAGAATCAATGGAATGGGGCCTCACTTGCAGTAATGAGGACGATGCTCCGGTCTGCCCTGGTGATAAATAACAGCTAAGCTGAAAGGGAGTGGGGTGGCTCAGCCTTAAAGAGAAGGTGAGGGGCTCCGTCATCCAGGGGGAGCTCGGAGTAGAGACGCTGCTCCTCTGTGTTGAAAAGAGTCAGCCAGTGGTGTAGACCAGGGGTTCCCAAACTTTTCCATGCCATGGCCCCCCCCAAACAGCATTAGCTTCTGGCTGAGGCCCCCCTCGCAAACCCACAAACAATGCTACAAAATACCTAAAGAAACTCAACTTTTAGAATGTTTTAACTTTTATTCACTATGTTCAATTAATTATTACAGCTGCTGAGCATAAAACTATTATTAACTAAGTTTTAAACGTATTCCCAATGAAAAAACAACAACTTTTCAACAAACAGTTGACCAGAAGAACAAAACAAAAGAAATCTAACCTCTCAAGCGTGTTTATCTGGAAATGACAGAAACAGATTGCGCTAGTGGGCAATTTTTATTATTATTACTATTTTTTTATTTTTGCTTTTTATTATCTTCTTCTTTCCAGCCTTCCGGGGGGCAGCCCCCAGGGGGCTGCAGCCCCCCACTTTGAAAAACACTGGTGTGTAGCCTACGTGATACCCGCTAGAAAACCTTGGGCATTTCCGTATACCCACATACTGGGTAGTGGGCGTGCATCATTGATACGCTGAAACATTAAAACGTTGGGGGGAAGCGCGTCCTAAACGCCCTCAGAGCACAGCGGTGGAGTCAGCTGAAGTTCAAGCATCTGATTAGACCTCCTGGACGCCTTTGGGAGTAGACTCTGGGATCCTGGTTCTAAAGTTCTAGACCAATACTGGGAGGGATTTCAGCTGGTTTTTGGTTGTCGAGTGTAGTGGGGCCTGCCTCGCTCTAATTTAATTCTACACATTTGCATACAGCTGAGTGTCGCCTTGATGTGGACAGATCGTCACAGCAAGGCTGCACACTCCTCTGATGTCACTGTTTGGGCGCCACACGACAGTCGAGGTCATGGTGGGCCGGGTGCTCGGAGGATATTTAGTCATGCACAAGATAAAACTGAGCTAGTGAAGTTAAATGAGGCTTATGTTATTTAAAAATATCTGGATAGAAGCAAGTCAGTGTGGCTGTAGAAGATTGCGGTTTTAAAGCCGTCACTGTCCTCGTTGGTCGTGGAAGTTCCAGACAAGCTGCTGTGACAGCATCGCCTCAAAGCAGCTTGTCTGGAACTTCGGCTGGAAACGAGTCACTCAATGGAAAGCCTGTGAAACCTGCGCTGAGTCGACCCTAGTAGGGCTGAGTCGTGCCTATGTGTAAAGGACTTGAGTCTTCTCTCTGGTCTAGTCACGCCTTGATAATGAATCCAAGCAAAACTTATAATGAAATGGTTACACTCAGCTCCGAGTTGTACTCTGACCTACCACACAGTTCTGATACGATCTTTGTGGTTTTGTTTGCGTCTCTTCAGGCCGACTCCCCCCCACCCCCTTCCCCTTGTGCTGAGAAGACGTCGATACGATGTTTTACGCCCACTTCGTCCTCAGCAAACGGGGGCCGCTGGCCAAAATCTGGCTGGCGGCCCACTGGGACAAGAAGCTGACCAAGGCCCACGTGTTTGAGTGCAACCTGGAGAGCAGCGTGGAGAGCATCATCTCACCAAAGGTACTTCATCTCTGGCTAGTTTTGGTACTTATTAAAAGTACAGTAGTCCCTTGATACTTCGCGGTTCGACATTCGCTCTTTCGCGGGTTTTCAATGTAAGATTGTACATGACACACGATTGTCAACTTTAATATTACTCACATGATTGGGATGGTACGGGATAAAAAGTTAACGGGAGCAGAAAAAAATACTTCCGACAGGCGCCGCCATTTTGTCATTGTCTTTCAGTAAGCCTACACTGTAACGAAAGTCCAAAGAACTACACGGCCCAGAAGCCAACAGTGCTTCCAACCGCTGCTTTCTGCCGAAATTCATATTACAGCAATGGAAGGAGCAAACACTAGCAGAGAAACTGATGTGGTTAAAATAGTTTTGTAACGCAAAAACATAATCTATCTATTAAGTTCACAGAACTGGCAGGAAAGTTGCAAATAATCCTGAAGCTGAACTCATCCTTCAAGTTGTATCTTCATTGGTGAGCGTCCATATAAAATGTTGTAGTACTGTGCAGTACATATACATATGGTGTTAAAATATAGGTTTAAGAGTTTAGAACTAGGCCCATCACGATAACAAATTTTGCTGGGCGATAAATTGTCTCAGAAATTATTGCGATAAACGATAATATTGTTTGAAATTTGACAATAATTAGTAATTATTGTCAAATTTAAAAAGAAATGTTGGTTAATTTGTTTTGTGTGTAGTAGCTTTTTTGACCACCGGATGGCAGTATAAGACTGTTTGAACCGAAAAGATGGATAGTGAGGGAGCAAGCAGCGTGTCTCTTTAAGAAAAATGGGAGGGAGGCCTCTTGTGACATCCGCTGTCTCTCTTCCCTTTGTTTCGGTTCTCAAAATGGCGGACGCTCTGTGTGGTTTGAGCTCTTTAGCATAGCATTTTTCACACAAAGCTTTTAATAACAAATCAGTAAACAATTCTCAGCTTCTTTTTGCAGAGAAAAACAACTTTTTACACAAAGGCACAAGTTTCAACCGTGAATTTTGGAGCTTCGACAAGAGGGAGGTTTTTTCCCCCGAGGTCGGCCTGTTAGCTTAGCTCTTAGCTTAGCTTCTCAGCTTAGCTGCTTTTACCGATACAAAAATGTGATTTTGGACGGTTAAAAGAGATTTTTAAGAGAAAGGGAGGGGTCAGTGATGAGCACTGGAGTTGAGCCTTTTCTCATCCAGTGTCTTCAGTAGAAAGAGAGACATGAAGAAACGATGAAGCCGGTAAATGAAAACGAGGTCGATAATTTTCATTTATCATGTGATTAATTGAATTGTTTATCGCGACAGGAGATATATATATACAGTATACAGTAGTCCCTCGCGTCTTTGCGGTTTGTTTATAGCAGACTGGCTCTATCGCAGTTTTTCAAAATAAGATTGGACACGACACAACTGGCTGATCGATGGATGAGCTGCACGATCATCTGTTCTCCGTGCACAGTGGTGAAGAGGGCATGGCCAAGAGCACTTGCATGCGGCAAAGGGCAGAGGAGACAGAGAGCTGAAATCATGACATTCTGTGCTCTTTTAGAGCTTTAGAGTGTAGAAACTACTACTTACTATTTGTACTACTATTCCTACTTTGCGGTTTTTCATTTATCGCAGGGCTTCAGGTACGGATCCCCCGCGATAAACAAGGGACTACTGTATACATATACTAAAATAACTATAGCGTTCCTACTCAGCGGGTTTTTTCACGTATCGCGGTGGTGTCTGGAACAACCCCTTCGATAATCGAGGTACTACTGTACCTGTTGATAGAGCTGACAGGAAAGCTGTGTAACACGCCACAGACTTTCAAAGCACATTTCTGTCATGGGATCTTTAGGTGAAAATGGCGTTACGGACATCAGGTCATCTGCTGCTGGGGGTGGTGAGAATCTACCACAGGAAGGCCAAGTACCTGCTGGCAGACTGTAACGAGGCCTTCATCAAGATTAAGATGGCGTTTCGACCAGGTTGGAAACATAAATCAATATTAGAGGGTTTTGTTTTTCCTCCAGGCTTTTAGGCTCTTCCTCACTAGATGTTAGAAGTAAAACAGTTTTTCTGTGTCGTGGTTTTTAGGTGTGGTGGATCTTCCAGAGGAGAACAGAGAAGCAGCTTACAACGCCATCACCCTGCCAGAGGAGTTCCATGACTTTGACCAGCCGCTGCCAGATTTAGAGTGAGGCCTTGTTGTCAGCACCGAGCTGTTGTTGATTAAAACGAGCTTTTCCTGCCGGCTTAGAGGGTCCAGGTCGTTCTCAGCAGGAAAATAATTCAATTATTGAATTGTTAATGACCCAAACAAGTGAAAAAAGTGTGTGGATCAGCTGCTGAGAGCTGAAATGTCGGAATAAAAGCTGAAACATTTGACGGTTGAATGGCTGGAACATCAGCTAAATGAGCAGAAATGAACCTGAAATTAGAAAAACTGTATCAAAAACTAAAACAAGCGGAAAATGTTGTTAACAGTTAAAAATTGCAAAACTGAAACTTAAAGCTAAAATCAGCTAATCCGTAGGTGTAGGCTAAAATGGGCAAAACAGTAGCTAAAAGCCAAGATCAAAGAAACAGACAATATAGAAGCTGATCTAACATTAACTTAACAGTAACAAAAAATTAGAACGGTAGCTAAAAGGTAAAATTTTGCTAAATTGCAGCTATAAGCTAAAATTTGCAAATTTCTAGCTAAAAGCTAAAGCTAACAAAGGAGCAGCAAAGAACTAAAATAAGCAAAACAGTAGCTATAAGCCAAAACCAGAGTAACAGAAACAAAATGAGCTAAAAGCTAAATTTTACCTTACAGTTGCTCAAAGATAGAATCAGCAAACCAATAGCTAAAAGGTAAAATTAGCTAAACTTCAGTTAAAATCTAAAATTAGCAAAACTGTCACAAAAAACTAAAGCTGAAGAAAACACTTAACAGTAGCTACAAGCTAAATCAGGACATAATAGCAAAATTTTACTAACCTGTAGCTAAAAGGCTAAAGAGCTAAATCTTATCTTAAAGCTAGAAATTTGCTAATTCACAGCTAAAATTAACCTACAAGTTACAATAACAAAACTGAGCAATCTAAATGCGCAAAACATTAACTACAAGCTAAAATCTGTAAAACAGTAACTAAAAGCTTCAACTTGCTAAGCTGTAATCAAGAGTGAAAATGAGCTAAACTAGAGCTAAAAGCTACAACAGGCTAAACCCTAGCGAAAGATAAAGGTCTGCTATTCACTGCGACAAAAGCTCAAATTAACACTTGTGTAAAGTATATTTGGCAAACAGGAGCTAAAAACTAAAATGAATACAACAGTAGCTAAAAGCTCAAACTTGCTAAATAGTATCTAAATGCTAATATTAGAAAAACAGTAGCTAAAACCTGGAACAGCATTGGTGGAATGTCGCTAAAAGAAGCATAAGAAGACAAAGTTAGAGCAGGTCTGCTGAAGTAGAATAAAGTTTTAAGGAATCAAAGTGAACTCATGTATTTGTATGGTGGTGGTGGAGAGTCTTTGTAAACAGGTAAATTTACTGAGAAGTATAAAAGTTACAGAAACCAAAAGTCCATGGAGCTGAACTTTCTGATTGTTGTAAGGGTAAAACAGCCGAACGTACGCAGAGGTAGTTTACTGGAAACAGTTCAGGCTGTTTCTGTCTGTTTGGCTCAAACTGGGGTTGATGGTGTGACGTGGTTTGAACAGCGACATCGATGTGGCCCAGCAGTTCAACTTAAATCAGAGCAGAGCCGAAGAAATCACCATGAGAGAGGAGGTGGGCAACCTCAACCTGCTGCAGGACAACGACTTCGGTGAGCGTCTTACACGGCTCATTTATTCTGTCCAAGTCTGTCACTCCTGAGCGTTTTGAGACGTTCTGACCTGCAGCCGACTTCGGGATGGACGACCGGGAGATGATGCGGGAGGAGAGTGCGTTCGAGGTGGACATCATGGGATCATCGGCGTCCAACCTCCTGCTGGAGGCGGAGGGCGGAGCCAATCAGATGGCCGACAAGTCCAACCACCTGGAGTATGACGACCAGTACAAGGACGACTTCGGAGACAACCCGATGGAGAGCAACGAGGGAGGAATGCTGGGTAAGAACCACCGTGTCATTTTTTAAACATTTAAAGCGTTTCAGGTTCAACGGGTTTTGTTTCGGCGTAGTGGACAAGCTGCTGAGTAACGAGGATGGAGGCGGCATATTTGACGACCCTCCCGCCATCACAGAGAGCGTGATGATGCCTCAGGACCACGGTGACGATGAGGATGACTTTGATGCTCTCTCAGGTCGGTTCCACAGACTCCTCGCTCAAACTAAAGCCCTGAACCCACTCTGCATGTTTTAACGATATGAACCGGTATGTCTGTGTGGTGTCAGCTGGAGCCCCAGATAGTCCTGACTCTGGCCCGACGGAGCAGCTGCCCGCCATGACGGACCAGCAGGAGCAAACTGCTCCGGTTCACAACGAGGAGGAAACCTTCGCCCTCGAGCCAATTGACATCACAGGTGATAAAGCTTCAAATTATATTTAACGTGGTGGAGACCAACAGGAGGCGCTGAAACTAGCTCACGTCCGTTGCAGTGAAGGAGACGAAGGCGAAGCGTAAACGGAAGCTGATCGTCGACAGTGTGAAGGAGCTGGACAGTAAAACTATCCGCGCGCAGCTTTCAGACTACTCCGACATCGTCACGACCCTGGATTTGGCTCCGCCCACCAAGAAACTGATGATGTGGAAGGAGACGGGAGGAGTCGAGAAGCTCTTCTCGCTCCCAGCTCAGCCTCTCTGGAACTCTCGGCTGCTGAAGGTAACGCCGAAAGAAAAACAACAAGTCCCGATGACTGGTGGAAACTCACAGTCTTCTTCGCTCTAGATGTTTACGAGATGCTTGACCCCGCTGGTGCCGGACGAGCTGAGGAAGAGGAGGAAAGGTGGGGAGGCCGACAGTCTGGATGAGTTTCTGAAGGATCTGGAGAACCAGGAGGTGCCGAGGGAGGAAGCGGCAGGTCACCAGCAGAGAGACATCACTGGTAGGAAGTGGCTTCTTCTGGTCAGTCCTGGCGCAGAACTCGTGATCTAATAGTGTGAGTGTTTGTGAAGCATTCACACTATTGTGATTCATTTCTCTTCCGTACGTTTTTCAGCGCGATTCTCGTTCCGCAGTTTTTGTGCCATTTCAACAAATCATAAATCAAAATGTTCAGCTCTTTCAGGACAATCCTGCTATAACGTTTGGTATTGTTGCAACTTCAGCTTTTTGAAATATTTCTGCCACTTTTTGTCTCATAAAAAATGAATTGAGCTCATTTGAATTTGACATCTTTCAAATCTTTAGATCTGTTTAAAACCTTTTACTGCTCCTTTCACATTTGGTTCTGCTTCAGCTTCTTTCAACGTCCTTGTGCAAATTTAAACCTTTTTCATCTAATTTCAGCTCCTTTCAGCTGTTTTGTGCTCCTTTTAAATTCATTTTGCTAACTACAACATTTTTGTTTTTCTTTTAACTTCTTTCTGCTAATTCCAGCTTGTTATGCTCCTTTCAGATTATTTCTGCAAGTTTCAGCTTTTACTATTTCAGCTACTATTTAACTGTTTTATGCTAATTTTAGCTTTTTCAGCTAATTCCACATTGTTTGCACACATTTAAACTTTTTCAGTCTAACTCAGCAAACATGCTCTCTGCACTTCCTTCTGGTAATTTAAGCTTCTTTCTGCTTTTTAGCTACTTTTCAGCCGTTTTTTTGCTAATTTCATTTTTTTTTTTTTAGATAATTTCCACTCTTTTGTGCTCATTTCTGATTCTTTCAGCCTAATTCAGCACAGTTGTGATCTCTCCACTTCCTTCTGCCAATTTAAGCTTCTTTCTGCTTTTTAGCTACTATTCAGCTGTTTTTTTTGTGTTCAATTTTCTGCTTTTTTCATGTATTTTTTTCCACTTTTTTGTGCTCATTTCTGCTTCTTTAAGCCTAATTGGGCACAACTGTGCTCTCCTTCTGCTAATTTAGGCTCTGATTTTTCAGCTAGTTTTCAGCAAAAAAAATGTTCTCATTTCAGCTTATTTTCTTGCTAAACAACAATTTGTTGTGCTCATTTCTATTTATTTAACCCTAAATCAGCAAATGTGTGTTCTTTATCCTTTCTTCTGCTAACTTAGGCTTGTTCTTCCAGTTCAGCTACATTTCAGCATGTTTTTAGCTAATTTCAGCCGTTTTTCAGAAATCAGCATTCACACTGCATTTTCACAGGAAATGCATTTTCTGTAGTTCTGACTGATTTTGTCCTGCAGATCAGACCGTCATGGAGGAGGCCAACGCTCTGCAGCCTTCAGCGGTGGAAGGCAGCAGGTCAACGCTGGACGAGTCCGCCATGCTGCCGCCGTCCTCACAGGGAGGCCTGAAGAGGAAGTCTCCGGAGGCGGAGCCAGCCCTCCCTGTAAGTCCAGCTGTCCAATTTTTGTGTTTTTATGATCTGCTGTCTGAGCGCCGTCCTCCTCCTTCCAGGTAGGAGCTCTGGACGAACAGCAGCAGCAGAGCGCAGCTGCCTCCCAGCAGCTCGAGGCGTCCACCGTGAGTCTGGCCCCGGAGGACACCACCGCCACCATCAACCAGCTGATAGAGCTGGACTTACTCGCCGACAAGGACAAGAAGAAAACCGACGAGGACTCTGAGGAAGAGGTGAGAGAGAGATCAGCTCCTGCGTTCTTATTTCATCTCATTATCGGGGGAGTTTAACAAAGAGGAGCCACTGGAACGTTCCCACAAGTCTCTAATTTTACAGGAGGAGGAGGTGCAGGGAGACCAGGATCAGGAGGAGAGGAGGTGGAACAAACGAACCCAGCAGATGCTTCATGGCCTACAGGTACGGTACATTATAACTTGTATAAACTTTGTAAAAAAAACAGTTTAACTTTGAATTAAGACTAGGGATTATAATCTAAAACTACCAAACTGTAGCTGTAATTTAGAGCTTCGTTACAATAAAAAATGATTTCACAAAAGCTTTAAAATTTGCTGCTAATCGTTGAATTGATGGTAAATTTAACTCTAATGCATAAAATGGTGATTTGGTTTGTGATTTAATCTTTTAGGTTCTTTCATGCAGATCAACAAATTGTGTTTATTGGGTATATAATCCACCTCCATCTCAAATATTATTGTATAGTTTTTAAGCTGAATAAAAGTGCTCTAATATTTTGAAAGGTAATTTTAAGGTTTGTGGTAAAAGGTTTCTTTAATGTTGCTAAAATGTTCAGACTTGGTTAAAAACTATGTTTATTAATCTGAACAGGGGCCCTGGGATCACATTTGTTTTATAATTTACAAATTTTAATTAAAAAATACAAATGTTTGTAGTTTGGGATGAGATTCTGCTCATCTGAGAGCAAAGAAACTTGAATTATTACCCCCTAAACAATATTTGCATATTGCTTAATAATGATTTTATTATAGGTTATTACAACCTAATGCATTGTTTTTAGATATTTTAGTTTTAAAGCACAGTTATAAATAAGAGGCAGAAGAAGCACTCAGGACAAATTTTAACATTTTTGTCTTTTGCATTTAAAATCAAGGCTGAAACTTAAACGTAATCACACCAAAATATTTAAATTTAATTCAAATTTAGAGTCAGTTCAAACACCACAGGCTGTTTTATTTATAGTTATTCATAAAGTAATCGTGCCTCTCTGCTGTTTGTAAGACTGAGAACTGGAGAAGCTCTTAACGGGATTGAGTTAAATCACTTTAGGCTGCATATATTTCACCTGCAGACATGCTAACGCTTAGACCCTATTTACACGACAACGATCCACTGAAAACGAAACTTTTCTTCCCATTTCTATTTACACATTTATAAGAAAACATTCTAATTACAATTTCTGTTTTTATTTTCGTGTAAACGGGCCAAACCGTTTAAAAACAGCGATACTTTGAAAACAGACAGGTGTTGCTCCTCTGGCAGACAAACGGAGACTCGCTGGTTTATCCTCACGAGAAAACGTTTAAACAAGCCATGACGGGGTTGTTTATTGTACATAAAAGTTGGGGGATAATCTACAATACCTACACAATACAATACCAATATGCTAATCTAATAAATGTGCGCGAGATTCAACGATGCATGAACTGTTTTTTGAATGCAGCCATTTTCAGACTTCCTTCATGCTCCAAAGATGATGATGCGTTCAAGGCTGAAGGAAAGCTGGGACATCTGGCTTTCACCAAATTTACTGGGTTATTAGAAACAACACATTTCAAACGCACAACTTTTATATTAAAACACCGGATTCCAAAAATATTAACTTTGTGGACTGAACAGCTGAAATAAACTACTTAAAACGAGTAGTTTAGACTTCTGCTGGACAAACGCCCTAAAATGTTGAGCGCTGCAGCGCCCTCTTGTGGCAGCGCACTTCTACCTGGGTATGATGGAGAGACATCCACCTCACTAAAGCAGTGGCGCCCAATCGTGGCCCTCGAGGGCCACCATCCTGCATGTTTTAGTTGTTCCCCTGCAGTCCGGTTATTCAGAGTGTCAAAGCAGAGAAACATCTAAAACATGAAGGACGGTGGCCCACGAGGGCCAGGATTGAGCACCGCTTCTCTAAAGTGTGAGTTTAACGTGACGCATGAAATGCTGACACCCTCCCCCCGTGTCTCACCCCTCCACAGAGAGTCATGGCCAAAACCGGCGCCCAGTCGGTCAGCCTGCTGGACCTGTGCAGGACCAACAACAGGAAGCAGGCGGCTGCCAAGTTCTACAGCTTCCTGGTTCTGAAGAAGCAGCAGGCGGTGGAGCTGACCCAGGAGGAGCCCTACAGCGACATCATAGCTACACCCGGGCCTCGTTTCCACGTCATCTGAAGCAGACACTGGCCAACAGCTCCGGGGCTTCGTTCACTAAAACGCTCTGGACTTGAATTCATGACGATTTATTTATTTACAGGAAAGAAGATCCGAGTTATTCAGAAAACAACTCATTTATCCTATAATCCAGATATTGTTACAGAACGGGACTACCTGCATGCTGTCTTGTGCACTTTCTCTAGAAATCTTTTTATTTCAGCACTTTCCCTCTGAAGGGTCGATCTAGATGGAATATAGTTGATACAAAACAAAGTGCAGCTTTATCTGATTAATCAGGCAGACGTGGAGGATCAGCTCTGTGTTGTTTGTTGTTGTAACGCGCAGTATTGCAACAAAATGTTTTCTATATGAAGGAAGATTTATTATCCTAAAGATTAACTCGAAGATGACGTGAAGTCTGAGTGTTTTGTATCTGGTTGTGTTAAGAAAATAATAACCGACTGAATTCATCACAAAGTCTTTGTTTCCCTCGTTTCCTCTGGTGCGTCGTCTTTTTATTGTCATTCCAGAAATGTTGATCAGATTTTTTTCATTTTGCTTAAGAGCAAAGCGTCTCGATGTTTTTAAAACTTTTTCTAAGTTAAAAAAAACAACTAAACCCTACAACGAATGTTTCAAACAGAAACTCTTGATTTATTGTCTGAAAGACGAATGAATGCAGAGTTAGGATTCTTTAATCCAGGAAGCTCCTGTATAAGTTATAAAATACAGTTTTAAGAAGAAGTCTGTGTCTTTCTGTCACGTCACGTGTTAGGAGCTGGAGGGGCGGCCATGTTGTCTCCTGCTGCTTTCAGTCTCTTCTGTCGGCTTCTCTTCTCCCCTGGCTCCGCCTTCTTCAGCGGCGGCGTCGGAAGTCCCTTCTTCTTCTTCTTCAGGCAGCTCAGAGGGTTGGGGTTGCTCTGTTTCCTCTTCCTCTTCTTCCCCCGCCTCTCTCCATCCTTGGAGCGGATGCCCTGCTCCTCCTTCAGGCTGCGGATGCTCTGCTGCTGGGCGGGGGTCAGCAGTTGGACAGCGTGGACGTGGTCGAGGGACGCCTGGCTGGGTTTGTCCAGCACGATGGTGTTGAGGACGATGTAGAGCAGAGGAACACCCGGGATCTTCTTCAGACCGGCTGTCACTGCGTGGTCCTGCAGACACGAGCTGTATTTAGAGCTGCGGTGCTTTAAGAAGTATTTTTAATTCTGAACTGCTGGTGTAACGACAACATCCTGTCGGTGTTTACCTGCGTAGCCACAAAGTAGTGCTGCGGGTTCGTGTCCTCCAGCATGGAGAGCAGGCACTCTGAAGCAGGAACCGGGTTCTTGAAATGGGAACAGTTCCTCACCTGGAACCTCTGCAGGATGATTTTAGCTCCGTACAGATCCTTTCCAAGAGTCTCCAGCTCCTTCAGAGCACAGCTGAGGACAAACGAAGACGTGAAACAGATCGAAGAGGAGAAAACACAAAACAGCTAAAAAAAAAGGCTGCATTAAAATACAGAGCGGAATGATTCTGTTAAATAATCTGCTGAAGCCGAGACGTTAAAGTTAAAAGGAAAATACTGGTTCAAAAATAAATGGAGCAAAAGAGTAGCTAAAAGCTAAAAAGAGCTAACTAAAAGGAACAAAACTATCAGAAATTCAAAACTAAAAATAGGATAAAGAAAGCTAAAAGTAGCAAAACATTAATTAAAATTTAAAACTCAAAAGGCTAGCTAAAATGTGTAGAAAACACATTAAAAGGAAAAAGGCAGACAGAAGCTGAAAGTAGCAAGAAGCTAACTAAAAACTACAAGTAGCAAAAGCTAAAAGCCTCCAAAGGTTAGCCAAAAGTAGCTAAATGTTATATAAAAGCTAAAAGGCTAAGTTATAAAAAAAAGGAGGAGCTAAAAGTAGCAAATAATTGAGCTATAAATTAAATGTGGCTAATGCAGATTTCAAAGACTGGGAAATTAGAATCGAAGAAATCTCTTAACTATTTATATTGGGGAAATATTTGTAAATAGAGTTAAATAGATATTAACAGCATGGAAACGTAGTTAAACGGACTCACTTCGTGGTGCACAGCAAGACCTCCCCCATCAAATATTTGGGCATCTGCTCCTTGATCTGAATCTTGTTCTTCAAGGCCATCTGACAAAAAGTTCCGTCGACCAGAATCTGAAAGGGCTGCCTGAAGCTGAAGTTGTATTTGTAGAAGCTGATGGTTTTCTTGGCGTGTTTCTGCCGTTTAATCTTCATGTCGGTCGCTTTGCTTCGTTTACTCTGAAAACGGAAAACGTAAAAAACAAAACAAAAACAAAAAACGCTTATATTTGTAACAAATATATAAAGTTCACAGCCAGGTTATTTATTTCGAACGCTTGCTAAGAGCGCACACGTTTTCGGTGCATACATGTAATGACACCGGGTGGAAACACACAAACGTTACAAGCGTTCCGGTGTGGAGAATTCCACCCATACATATTATAATAATGCCTTTATAAATTATATCTGTGATTCCACCATCCAGAATCTTGATCATCGATAGTTATAATAAACAAATCTACATGTTTTATAGGCTTCAACAGAGCAGGTGACTAAGCCTGCAAAATGTTGTGTTTCTTAATAAATACTTGATTCATGTTGTGAAATATATGAAAATACAACAATCATTCTCTTCTTAATATGACTGTATTTGTGATTTAAAATGTTAAAGCTAGTTTATGTATTTGCGAATTTATTTGTCTTTTTTTAATATTCTATTTATTTTTGTTTTGTATTTTCATATTGTCAGCATGATCTTTGTCATGTTGTTAAAAATATTTAAACATGCTGTACTATAGTACAAATGAATACCATCCATCATCTTTACCCGCTTCTTCCTTTTCGGGTTGTGGGACGGGGTCACTGGTGGGGTCACATTATACCATACCATTTTATTAATAGAGCACTTAAAACAGCTACAAGGCAAACCAAAGTGCTGTACAGACAGAACAACAGACAACACATGAAGCAATATACAAAATGAAGTAAATCAAAAATATAGGCATAAAATCGATGCAGATAATAAATATGACGACAAACCAGTGTGGGGTGTACAGGTTCAAAACACAGATCCTCTCGTGTTGAAAGCTACTGAATAGTGAGTTTTTAAACGGGATTTGAAAACCAAGAGGGAGGGGGGCCTGTTTGACAAGCAGAGGTAACTCGTTCCAAAGTCTTGGTCCTGCTACAGACAGAAGGCCCTGTCACCTCTGCGCTTAAGACGAGTTCCTGGAACTGTGAGAAGCAATTGGTCTGCTGATGCATTATGCATTATGGCAGTTTATTATTGTGTAGTACTTTATCTGTGGTTTGTCTGAAACAGGTCTCTCTTGAAAATGAGTCCTCGTGACTTAATGAGAGACTATAATCTGAATAAAGGGTGGCCATATCCAACCATCACTGTGCGAGAGGCGGGGGACACAGGTCAGGTCCATCACAGGGACACAGAGACAAACAAGACAGCCATTCACTCTCTCACTCACACCTAGGGACAACTTAGAGTTACCAGTTAGCCTAACATGCATGTTTTTTGGTCTGTGGGAGGAAACCAGAGTACCCAAATACCAACCAGTTCACAATAATTTAATATTCAACTCCAAATTTAAAATTGTCATGTAGGTTATCGATACCTAAATTATTATTTGATTAACCTTTCTACGTTTTAAATATATTAATGTGAATATTTTAAAAACTAATGTATCTATTTAGCTGCTGTTTAAAATGTGATGGAGATGTTTGTGAAGCCGTGGTGTCGCACCAGTCTGAAGATGCGATCCACTATATCTCAGGGTATTAGATTGTGGAATGATCTGGAGGTTGATATTAAAAATGCCAAAACTATGTACATATTCAAGAAGATGATAAAAAAAAAAATTTTTTTTAAATATTAAGTATAATGTGAGTTCATAAAAATTGTTTACAGTTGATCTTATATTTTAGCTAAGTTTTTATTTTATTATTATTTTTTTTATTTTTTATTAATTCAACTTGCTTTTGTATAGTAATTTTGTTTGGAATATATTTTGGGGACAAGGGGCAGATATTATAAGAACTCATTCTTCTTCTGCTGCCTTTCATTTTATTTCTGTGATTGTATATCTTTTTTCTTTTTTTTTAAATTGTATTATATTTGTTGTTTGGATTAAATGAAATTAATAAATAAAACATACATACATACATACAATGTGCTTTATAAATAAAGTTGACTTAACTATTTTCGCCCCGCCTCTTTTGCACAATCACCCCGCCCATGGTTCTTTTATTTATTAACCCCGCCCCTCTTCAGTTTGATATTAGCCCCGCCCCTGGCTGCTGCGTCAGTACTGTGAAGACCTGCTGTGTTGATTCGCAGCAGAACGGTGGTCTCGGTGAGTCCAATGGTCCTTCGTGGCAGCGGGTACCTCTGACTCACGACTAACGTTAGCTCGAGTCGGGCCCGCGTGGGTTGGCTCGGCTCGGTGTGCTACTTCCCCTACCAGTTCAGCAAACATGGCCGCCACGGATCCCCGCTCGTCGAGTGACGGCGGGCCGGCCAGCAGAGGAGGCTTCCCCGCCGGAGAGAGCAGCAAGGACCGGGACGGGCCGGACGGAGGCAGCGGCGGCGGCGGCGAGAGCGAACGGGACCGGGCCACGTTCGAGTGCAACATTTGTCTGGACACTGCCACGGACGCTGTCATCAGCATGTGCGGCCACTTGTTCTGGTACGAGGGAGCTAGTTTTGTTGTGTTTTTGTTTCTGTTGGGAGTTCGGGGCCTCCTCCGCCGTGGGCTGAGTTATTGTTGTTGGCGGGGTCACGCCCCGTCTGCCCCGCGGTGACAGCGGCTGAAACGGCCCCCCACCTCTCATGAAGCAGGTGTTTCCAGCAGAAATTCAGCCCACAACACATGAAATTGTACCAACTGGCCTCCGTGTTTACACACATGTGAGCGGGTCATATGATCTGATCTGGTTCAGGATTACTCAGTCCGCCCTGTGAGCCTTTAACTCCTGTTCCACATCACTGATCATTGACAGCTTTATCAGCAGGTCCAAAAAGCTGTGTCCACACTTAAACAGCACTTTTTCTAAGTCACCACAGAGGCTTGTTATTGTTTTAATCAAATGTTATTGTGGTTTTTAAAAGAACCATCCAGCTTATTTTAAAGACTCTGCTCAGCCTGTCTAAAAAATGTGTTTCTAGTACTTTCTACTCCCAGGACTTGCGCAAGGCTCGACCTTGAAACCACTTGTTGAAAATGTACACAGGTTCTGTTCTCTGCTGGTTCTTAAGTCCAGAGCCAAAGACTGGGGTCAGAAGTTTGTGATATCTTGACGTTGGTGTTTGCTTAGCGAAGCGTGACGTTGGAGAAGCGATGGTTCAGCTGGACGAAATCATGTCGGCTCCCTGATAAAACGCTGGCACCTCAAATGTAACTGCACTTGTTTTCTTTGTATGTTTGCAGCTGCCTCCCATGGCCATTTGTGTTGACTTGTTACTGCCACACCAGATTTTAGTTCAGTCCAATCCAGTAGTCATTGCGATAGGTGAAGTGTTTATACTTTAAGGCTTTTTAAACCCTTCCCACACTCTTGCAATGTTCTAAACTCTTAAACCTACATAATTTTAACAACATGCGTACATGTACTGTACAGTACTGCAACATTTTACTCAGCAGCGCTGCAGAACAGCAGCTCTGTTCCGGTTCTGCAGACCTACCCTGCAGTGACGAAGTCCACTGACCCGTCCAGTACAGCTGCCATTTCTAGCCCGACGCAACACGAATTTGGGCCGGGCCATAATAATGGGCGGGCTGGGCTTTTGAATGTGTCAGCGGACGCATGTGGCTGAAGATCCAATTATATGTCAACATGGCTTGCCATACAATCACCAACCGCACGCGGCCATTTCACCGCGAGCTGACCGACCTCGAAAGAGGTAAAATAAAGTTCAGTTAAGCTTCAGATGGGACTACCAGTACTTCCAGGAAGCGATCCATCTCTCAACCGCTGCACTCAGTGGACGTGCGCGGCCGACGACCCAAACGGGTGAGATCTCAAAGCAGACATGTCAGAGCAGGGTCCGTGTCTGAATAATGCAGAATGCAGGCAGAAGAGCTTTGACAGCCATGAAAGGACAAACACCCCCTCAGCTCCGATCTTCTGCCCATTAGCCGCGCACGCCCTCCAGTTGTTAATAACTATATAAGCAGTCAAAGCTTAATTAAAAATATCGTGGGGGAGGTCGGAAATGATGGCTACGGGCTGGGGCCTGTTCGGATCTGATTTTTTGGGGCCCGAATGCAACTCTGCCGTCCAGGTTGATGTGCACGTGGATAATTGAGCTTCAGGATTATTTGTGACATTCCTGCCAGTTCTGTGAGCTTAATAAATAGCGTAGATTTGCATTGCATAACTTTCCCTCCATTTTGACAGAAAGCGGTGGCTGGAAGCACTGTTGGCTTCTGGGTAGTGTAGTTCTTTGGACCTGTGTTACAGTATAAGCTTATTGAAAGAAAACTACAAAATGGTGGCGCCTGTCAGAAGTTTTTTTTTTTTTTTTACTTTTTATCCTGTATGTCCCAATTACGTGAGTAATAAATAAAATTGACAATTGTGTGTCATGAACAATCTAATGTTAAAAAACCGCGAAATAGCGAGTCCGTGAAATAGCGAGGGACCACTGTATCTTAAAAGCTGACTGAATTGTTGCCATTTTTATGTTTGCTAAGGTGAGTTAGCTGTGGCGACAGTCTTCCATGGCATTGACTGAAAGTTAAATCCGTTGTAGACGTAATCCCCAGATTGATTTCTGAGCATTTCATTAGTTCACTGGTTGAGTTTTTGCTAAACGTCAAACCCATGAATACTCGCACTCTAGACTGTTCTATTGATTTTACACAATAAAATCCAAACTGTTGCATCAGTCTCTCCATTAATGGAAGGTGTAACAGTAAAACTTTGAATTATTATAGAGTTAGTGTTTCTAATGTAGAGTATAAAAACTTTTTTGGGACGTCCAAAGTCTTTAGGCAGACGTCGTCTTGCCTGGAGCCGTCTCTGGAGAATTCTCCGTGTTTTTTGTTTGACGCAACGTTTAATTTGGGTGTTTTTTCTCTGTAAAAGCGTTCAGGCTGCAGTCGTGTTAGAATAAGTGCAGATGTGATGTAGTTGCTATGGTACTTTGGTCCTGCTGCTCCTGGGAGTCGGGTATGAAGTGATGAAACTGAACAGCAAGAAGAACGAGAGCTGACATCAGTTCTTCTGCTGCAACCTCAAATTAAAATTGCAGCAGCGCGGCTGAAAGCCCGTTGATTAAAACCGTACCGTGGAGATTAAGTCCCGTTACGTCTCAAAAGTCAGATTACTGGTTCGAACAATTCAGTCTGTTGCGCTTTATCCGTCATTTTTTTTATCAGTTCATAAGAATACTTGTAAATAATTAAGTCCCATCAGTAGCCGTTTGTAGTTTCAGATCATTCTGCTCACAGTCCAGATTGGTGTCGCAGAAACGTGAACATTTCTGTTGCCGTTTGACGTTAATGACGTGACGGCCTTAAAATAAAAACAGAGAATTTTGTGCTTGTTGTGTGTGTGTGTCTGCTAACACGCCAAAACATTTTTACTCGTTTGAATTATTCCAACAAACACGGGTGCGTTATCGAGGTTCTGCTTTCCTCTCGCACTCGTTAGTGGAGCGGTTTTCAAACTAAAGTTTCCCGTTCTTCCGCTCAGCAAGCCGAAAACAAAATCGAAATACATAATTTTTATTCTTATCCTGGTAGATTATTAAATATTACACGCAATCTACCATAGTTTTCATGTCCAGATTGTTTCATTCACGTTGCTAGAACAATAAGTCTGTTCCAGCAGCCTGTGCATATTCAACAGAAATAAAACGTCACGTTTTGAACCATAAACGTAAAATCTGGTGTTTGCACAGAAACCAAAGTTCTAAGATCTTTAAATTATCACAAGATAAAAAGCTGCAGTTTCACCGTTTTAGAAAAGATGGACGGAAACTTAATTTTTAGGAACTGCAAAGTGGTCAAATGTGCCCCTCTGTTGGGAGACCGTGGACCTTTTTTAGGGACACGCTCCACAGTTTGAGAACCGCTGTGTTTTGGTTAATGTGCTCCACCTCGTCGCATGATTTCAGAACAGAGCAGACGTTTAAAATATCAGTCCGGTCTGTCGCTTAAAAACATTTCTTTCCCCACTGCATTTGTCCATGCTTGTAAATAATCCATCCAGTTTGAGTTTGCACACCTGACCCCCCCCCCCCCCCCCCCACCCCCCCCCCCCCCCCCCCCCCC